CCTAATCCTCATAACCTATACAATCTTAAACCTCACTAACCCTAAACCTATTAACCTTAATCATAATATACAAGTATGCAATTTATATTTTCTTAAATTGTGACTTCTGACTTTTGATTGCAACTGTATTTTTTTCTTAAACTGTGTGACAGGGCAGTAGGCTCAGACAAGATGAAGTTCCTTGCCTGAACCAGATTCCCCAGAATGCAGTGGGAAAAGGGCTGCTGCCCTCAGTCACCTGACAGGACGGTGCAAGATAATTTGGCTCATGACAGCTTGAAAAACCAAGGGGCTAAAGCTTTTTTTGGTCATTCAACATCTGCCATCTGAAGATAGAGGGGAGATTCTCTGTTGTGCAAGACGCACGAAATGGAGTGAGTTAAGGAGGGAAAACAGAGAAGAAAAAAATAAACTGACTGACTGGATGACTGAGCAACTGACGAATATTTCGAAAGTTTTTGGCATAAGTGCTTGAAAAGTCAAAGACTCTTTTTTTGGAGCTTGTAAGCAGCTGAGCTACCCAGCTTCTATTAGAAAGGGACCTTAAAAGATCACCTAATAAGAGTAACTTTTGGTTTTTAGTTCTGTTTAGCTGTTTTTATTTCACACTTATACATAAAATATCACTTTCTTCACACCACACACTTCGTGAAATGAAAAATGAATTGACATTCATATTTATGACAATCTGCTTCAGGGCATTTAACAACCTGAACATAGAAACCTTTGCTGTAGTAGATATTCCCACAAAATTCTCTCATATAAAAAATAGCGCAGCAGCAAGAGAGTCAATTGCAGTATTCAAGAATTGACGACTTGCTTTGCTTATTTCATCCTGACTTTACTTACATATTTAAATGCAATATATTCATGCTCGATTTAGATATCTCTGTATTGCTAATTTACTCTCTATGCAAAGTGCTTTGAGCTGCTCTCAACACTTTCCACCATATAACCTTCAGCATTGTCCGGAAAACTGCTGGACTGTCACAGTAATTGTTTTTTTTTCTTTTAACGATTTATTGCTATTATTGCCCACAGATTATGGTGAAAGCACTGAATAACAACTACAAAGTGAATTGGAATCTGTATATGAGTAGTCATACAAAATGAGAATGCTAAACAAAATCAAGGCTTACTCCATTTCTGCGATCAGGAATGTTGGCTTTCACATTTTAAAAACCTGCTGACATACCCTACAACAGATTGAGGTCTATGGTCAATCTCACTTTGAGCCCTATGCTTCTAAGACTGGTGTTTTCTGGTGAATGAATGCATGCATAGCTATATTTGCTGATGCCAATAACAGCCAAACACAAAATTCTTACCTTCCATGTCCCAAGACCCAGAATTGGCAGTTTGGCACCAGTGTTCAAAACGACTGAAGCCATTGTAGCCTCTGAGCGCCAAACCAATGCAAAATTAGCGGTTGAACGGCTCTGAAACGTTTTACGCTCTGCTCTTGCTTTCTAGAGAGACAGTAAGCTGCTGAACGGAGTTCATATTACAAGGATGCTTGACTTTTGATTGGTGGCTGCGCATAAAAAGGAAATGAAAAAGATAACATAAGCGCCTGTTTGTTTTTTTTCTCTTGGCCTGTGAAAGGGAATTGAAATGCACAGTGCAGTGCACCCTCTAAACTTTCTAATCAGATTCTACCATTCTCTTACATCTTCTTATTTCCTCTTCTAATTAGTATTGGGCTTTCTGTTGTGGATGTCTACCATGGTCAATTTGCCTCAATTTCGTAATGTTGGCATTTATATGCTGTATATGCAATGTTTCATGTCCAGAAAATGTAGTATTGTTCTCCTGTTAGACACTCCAGAGCTTGTATTGTGTCAAATGAACAGTGGTCCAGGTGTGACAGAGGTCCTCATTCTCCCTGGGCTTGATGAGATTCATAGATGTAGAGCTGAGGTGATGCAAATATCTGCAGTTCATCTCAGCCAGTAACCTTTGGCTTGTTATCCAGTGCTAAAACATGCATCTCAGCACAATGGATAAACATTAGACTGAATGCAGAGATGTTTTATTTACCGTGAACTTTCAGGTCCAAAAACCCATAAAGACAAAAAAAAATTGCTCCTTCTTCAGAGCTTTAACTATTTTTTTTTAGTCCCGAACTAATAAAACTCAGGTGCTAACAGGCAAACCCCATTCACACTGTTTGTAATCTTTGAACCCCTCGGGCCAGAAATACCAGGAGCTGCCCAGATTAGCAAGGAGATGGAAATGGGAGCGAGAGATGTCACGAATGAAACCCGGGCTCTTCGAGAGAATGAGGAGCAGGGGGTGGCAATGCAGAAGTGAGATGGAGAGGTCAAAAGAAAACGAAGAAGGGCGAGGGCAGAAACAGAGGACAGGCACGGACAGATTCAGTTTGCCATGACTAAAGGATCCCTAGTGCAGAGTCATTATTTAAGTGCTCACACGTATCAGAAGGATAAATCTGAAAATCTTTGAGGCTTCCAAACATTCCTGTAACTTCTAGATGACATAGAGCATGTGTGTGAAATTTACAAGCTTGTACTGTACATGTATGGCAACTATTTCTCCACTTTTGTGTGCACATTTAGCAATCATACAATGATGCCACCTTTACACCAGTTTTTAACTAAAGAAACTTCATGTTTAGGAAACTGACCTATTCTTTTATTAATGTCTTTGTATTGGAGCAAACATGCAAATAAGCATTTCATTGCACAAAATAAACTGAACTATTTGTCTTCAGAAACATATATTGCGTATACTGTATGTAGTGCATATATATATATGTTCATGTATATAAGCATATATAGTCTGTATTCATTTTGTAGCACCATTTTGTGTAATAATGATATCTGTTTTGAATTTTTGGATGTGCCGTTTTTAATTAGGTTGCTTCTAATCTCCTTAAACTACAGCCAATTTGGAATGTACTGTATATAATACAAATATATAAAGGTAAATAGTTTCATTGCTCAGCAGCTGTGAGAGATTTGCTACTAGATATTATAATGCCTAATGATTCATTAATGTGTTTGGAATTTCGGTAAATATTCAGATTTCACGCTAGGTTGCAAATACTTTAAAGACACTTATGCTATATATACAAGTTTAGAAAACATGAACTTGAACAGGTTTTAAGTTATTTTTTTAAGAACATGTTTCACATTATTAAGATGCCAGAGGTTTAGGAAATTCCACTGCAGCACCAGTGTTTAAACTCTGTACATTATTAGTTACAATATTATAAAGAATCCCCCTGAAATTTGCAAATCTGTATTGCTGGATGTCAGTACAAAGTTACAATACACAATGTAACTTTGTGTTACATTGCCACAACATTTTATTTTGCTGGGTAGATCCCATATAGGTCTCAATTACTCTAAGGGTAGGTTTAAACTCCTCCCTACTTTATCTTGGGTAAACTGTGACTCATAACTTTCTTAAAGAGGGATTATCTTGCTGGATGTCAGTGCTCTCGATTATGCAATAAGTAAATGGAACTAGCTTCTAAACAAAACTAAACAAATTATTTTAGATAAACCCTTATTCTTTGCCTGAACTGCATGTTGACAGATGGGATTAAGCTATGAAATTTGCAATGTCATTCCTTATCTTTACCACAGTTACTGTACAGTGCATACTGTAGAATGCAATTAAATTCATATTTGTATATTCAATATATAATGTATATGTGGCTACAAATATCAAGGTTTAGGAATAAATGGAGCACAACTACTTGTTAAAAATAAACAAATTACTTACTACAACTAAAATAAATTATAGCTGATATCAGGACTACTGTGTTCCTCAAGACGGACTCTGCAATTCATACATGGGACATAGGATATGTCACCATTCAGCAACTCGATCCACCCAGATTTTATGAGTTTTTCTGCACCTTCTGATTTATACCTCTGACACAGGCACAGTCTTTGTTCACTAATACACTCAAAATCGCTAACCCATCTCAAGTAATTCTTCATTTTAAAATACTACACGTTACACCAGAGGGAGAATGTAGGAAGGAGGCAACAGACTTGTGGCCAGTTATACTGTGAATCTTTTAAGTGGAGAGAGAAGTTTTTGTTGTTTTTTTTCCAGGAAACAGCTCAAGTGCTACATGTCAAGAGAGGACATTTAAGATTAAGTTTCATTAGGCTTATGTGTTTTATACTCTGTATAAAGATATACTCTGAAAGAGATATTGTTTTACAATGTATTGTATAATGGTCACATACCGTAAGGGTGGGTATGAAAGGATAGCTAGAAATATGCATACTGTAAGTCATATTGACAAATATAGGAAGAGAAACAGAATAGGTCATATTGAAAAAGGCACAGGAGAAACAGGATTTCAAAATGACATGAATGGATTATTAGGTCCACTCATAAATACTAATTGAACATTGCAGAGCCCTATATGATTTCTTATTGTTTTCCGGTATGTTTGTAAAATTGTAAAATGTTATTACACTATCACAAGCATTCTGAATGACAAGAAGTTGCATTTTGTTCGATGTTTTGTACAGGCCTTCAGTTTCTACCAGAAGTGTTGCCTCTCACTGCTGCCTTGTCACAGGTTGGTTGCTGCCTCCCTGTTATTGGATACTGGGCCTTCTACAGTACAGTATAAGCTTCACTGTTCCAAGCCCCTGTTCTTTGATAGTTCTTCCCTGATGCCCCAGTCAGGAGAAGAGGCCTGCAGGAGCCCGTGGGGACTGATGCTGTGACTGACACATAGCTGAAAGGATACCCTCCTTTCACAGTGTCTTCCAAACCAAGAAAAGCAGCAAGCTGGTCTGACTCTGATCACTACCCATCATTGTACCTGCTCTGCCCCAACAAGGCACCTGGCATGAACATTTGCAACACCTAGCAACACCCAGCTCTTTGTGGTGTACGGGGAGTAAATATGAGGCTCTTATCATATTCATTATAATAAACACCTACTTACTAGTTACAGCTACTGTAGCTATACAGTATTTAACAATGAAAAATGAAAGACTATAAACAAATTCATGATTGCTGTTGCATAATGATTTATCAAACTCCTTCTGCCTAATCTTATTGCCAGCCTCAAACTGGTACATCTTACCACCCTTCCTGTATTAGAGGAGGGAATCTTCTGTGGCTCAAGAGTCCTTACTGTGGACCAATCTGGTAGTATTGCGGAGAAAACAACTATTGAATTCTGTCATCGTATGTTCTAAATACTGTAGCACTCCGATACAATTTTTATCGGAATGTTGTTCTGCATCTCTTAAACCCTACTTTAGGTAAAGTTAACCGTGATACAATCTGCAAGTGCAGTCCTCCCTAATTTCCCTTTTTCGAGTAACGATAAATATGGCAAATATCATTGTGTTGCAATTTTAACAAACTAAAATTAAAGCTCAGATCGAATCTTTTCTACTGTAATTAGGTGTACTGGTTTTAATAGTGCATTAAAGCACGGAACCATATCTTGTTTTAATTGATATAATTTAAACAGTATTAAAATTAGTGTGTTTGCAAATTGCGCCCCCTTCCTTAGCAGAACTCTTAATATATTTTTGGACATAATACCGCTCATTCCAGGACAAACAATAGTTCTGATATTAAGAAATAATTAATGAAGTTTATACCTTAGTATCAGAGAGTAGCCTACATTCGAATTACCTGTTGTAGTTTAACCTTTTTTTTCTGTATCATTACTTTAGCTGACGTTTATTTCCTTTACTCTGCTTTGTATATCTAGGAACTTATATTTGTATGTATTTTTCTATAAACCTGGGATATTGTCTGAAAGCACTCTAGCACATCATTTAAAAATCGGCACATTCTACATACGCAACATAGTACAACGTGAAATGTACATTTAAATGTAGTTCTGCAGGCAGCTGTTACTAGTTGCTGGAGGAATAATATTACACACCACCCTTTCCCATACATTTTGTAGTTTGCACCGCGCTACAGGTGCTGAAAAGCTGCCCTGACCTCTTTAGTCCATTTCTGGGATTTTAGCTATCTGCAGTAGAACTTGCAAAAGACACGTCGACTTAATTCATGAAAGCATTATTTTAAAAATGATCAAATGTGTCACTGCCTTTTTTATTTGCGGGTTTAAACTGAAGAAATGACTCTTTGCACTGTGCTGTGTGTATACCTTTCCCTTTAAAACATTTAAATTCCGAATAAAATACGAGTAAGGTCTGCACACGTCATATAAAGCCTTCCAAGGCCAGGGGTTATCTTAAGAACTGAAGAGTTGAATTTTTGCTTTAAAGTATTAATGTCAGCCGGGCACTATACACTTGAAAAGGACAGGCAAACAGTTTTAGCTATAGCGTCCCAGTCTCTCCGCTCGTCATCACTGCCACTCCCTACTTACCACATACTGTTGTTTTACAGCTGCAGCTGCTGAACCACTACCAACAGTTCTGCTGGTCTTAAAGTCAAAGTGGCACAGCAGACACGTTCATTCTAGAAAATTCCTACAAGTTAACAACTGAAATTAATAACCCTCGTCCAGGAGTGTGCAATATACACCGTGCATGT